CACCATCACACACTTCAAAACCAGTTAAAGACACGTTAAAAGATCTTGCCTGGGAAGTATTAACCTACCCGCTGTATTCACCAGACCTTGCTCCTTCAGATTACCACTTGTTCCGATCGATGGCACATGCACTTTCTGAGCAGCACTTCAAAACATACGAAGAAGTGGAAAATTGGTTCTCTGAATGGTTTGCCTCAAAACAAGAAAAGTTCTATTGGGACGGTATCTACAAATTACCTGAAAGATTTGGGAAATGTGTAGATAGCGATGGACATTACTTTGAATAAAGCACTTTTGATGTTTCTCTTGAAATTACCATGTTTTCTTTGATTACAGAATCTGCATTATTAACTGGTACACCTATAGAGGCCTCTGGTCCAGACAGCTCTTCTGTCAAAATTCTATATGCATTGGGTAATGGGGAGCCTTCATCATTTGGTTGTCCCTGCATCACCTCAACAGTCTAAACTCTCTCCCTAAGAGAATGATCAAAAACCAATAAAATACAACGTCACCTAAGCCGAAGCCTTTTTTCCTTTCCTTCACCTCCCTCCTGCAAGTTCCTTTCATAGCCAGATCTTTTTCCCCATCCTCACAGCTACTGTCTTATTTCAGGCCCTCCTGGACTTCAGCAATAGTGGGCATGGACATTGGCAATACTCCTCGCTGATACTACTGCCTCCAAAATTCCTTCTGCCAACTCTAGTTTTTTTGTGTTTTGTTTTGTTGTTGTTTTTTTTGCCTAAAGCATAAAGTGCAAACCTCTGTGCATCAGCTATGCCGGGTGAGATTGCTTTGCTGTCTAACTTTAGATTTTCCTTCTCACGTCACTCTTACCCTGGATACCAGATTGCTACTAACTGTTTAAAAAATTACCATGTTACTCGACTACTCGCATCTTTTCTTAATCCTACTATTTATTGAATGTTGACTAGATGCTAGTATTTAACCTCAAAGCAACGCTGAGGCCACACATCTAGTAACTGGCAGAGCCAGAATGACAAAAGCCTCCTTTCCGTATTCAAGCTTTTCTAGAACGTTTCAGCCTTCTTTAACCTTACCTCCCAATTCTTTCTATATGATAAAGACAATGTTCATACTGTGTTTGGTTTATAAAGTACTTCCACATGCTTCTGCCCCAGCCAAACTGCCCTGCTAGCCTCCTTGCCTATGCTGTCAAGTTTCGTCTCAGTTGCCCTCCCTCATCTATTTCACAATCTTGCACATTCTTCACCACCCAGCTCATTTCCTCCATGAAACCTTTCCAACCTAAACTTGTCCAGACTGCCTTTGAGCTCTGGGCAGCTTTCAGTTGAGACCAGCTTGTGACTAGATCCTCAAATTCATAATGTCACCAAGTATTATCTGTCGATTAAATAATTCATATGTTTTGCATATATATTTCCCTCTGTTTTTCAGAAGTTTAAAAATATTTTTTCTCATTAATATTCTTAGAAAAAAGTATGTGGCAGAGATCTCTTGTTCCCCCAAATCCATTCTACCCTTTTCCATAATATATACTAGACATAAAGTCTACATTGTCTAGCTTCCCTTGCAGCTAAATGTGGTCATGTAAGGATGCATGGCCGACCCAAAATCATGAAGATTTATCCTTATGTTTTCTTCTAAGTATTTTATAGTTTTAGCTCTTACATGGATCTTTGATCCATTTTGAGTTAATTTTTGTAGATAGTATAAGGTAAGGACCCAACTTCATTCTTTTATATGTGAATAGCCAGTTTTTCCTAGTATCATTTGTTGAAAAGAGTATTCTTTCCCACTAAATTGGCTTGGCGCTCTTGTTGAAAATCATTTGATTGTATATGAGAAGATTTATTTCTGTACTCTCTGTTCTATTCCAATGGTCTATATGTCCATCTTTATGGCAGCACCACACTGTTTTGATTACTGTAGTAAGTTTTGAAATCAGATTATGTGAGTCCTCCAACTTTATGCTTTTTCAAGATTGTTTTGGCTATTCAAGGTCCCTTGAATATGAAATTTAGGTGTTTTTGTTCTGTTTCTTTGAAAAATAAAATATAATTGAAATTTTGATGGAGATTGCATTATATCTATAGATTGATTGCTTTGGGTAGTATTGTCATTTTAACATTCCATGAATATGGTATGTCTTTCTATTTATTTATGTCTACTCTAATTTCTTTCAGCACTGTTATATAATTTTCAGTATATAAGTCTTTGCCTCCTTGGTTAAATAATTCTTTTTGATTCTATTGCAAATGGAATTATTTCCTTAATTTTACCTTGGGGGTACATAACTTTTTTTTTAGTAAGTGATTAAAAACAGATGTTTATTATTATTGATGTTTTATTTTTTATTTCTAAATGAACACAATTCTAAATGAAATGTAAATTTCTCTTTGTCTTATAGTTAACTGTGTATCTGTGGCTCTTCTATCTCTATAGACACTGTAAATTCCCAGACAAAAAAGGCTAGGACCTATTGGGTAATCCTGGAAAGGCACTGCTGTTTGCTTTTATGTACTGCTGCAGTTGAAGGAAACTACACCATACATGAGACAAGGACTTTCGTTGTTATTGTTAATATTTTAAATCTATACAAGATTGCTCCTGTGACTTCTACAGTTATCTTCTTAGAGCCATACATAAATACATAACTTTTTAATATCAAATTTTATGTTTGAAATGACTTTATACAATTCCTAATCAAGATTTTTAAATTGTGATCCTTATAAAATCCTTGAATAGTCTCTATTGATGAGAAACTATCACCTAATAGGTATTAACATTTTTTGGACTATTTTTTACTGCCATTCAAATTTCTAAGAGTTAAAATTTAACAGTTCTTTCTTTTTCATGACAAATATGTTAAAATTTCTAAGGATAAACAAATAGAATTAGAAATAAATAAAAATTTTTATATAAAAATATTTCAAAATAATGACCAAACTCTTATTGCAATATATACATACATCTTTTTGAGCAATGACCTTGTGACTAGCTTGTTTACTACTACAAGGATCCATCAGTAGACAGAAATATGTGATATATGTGAATGCTATGATTTGGGGCCATCATCTTAGTCTTCCAGCACCTCCCGTCCCCCTTCCCTCCAAGCTGTCAGCACCTTCGGCTGTGTACTGTCTTCTTGGACACCTCGGATGGAGACTCCTCCAGCAGTTTCGTGGGGCAGTGGTATGTTCTGTAGCTAGCCAATAAATCCCTATCCAGGGGCTTGAGCAACTCCCTGGCTATGTTCAGTGTCTGACAGAGGAGCAGTGGGTGTGGGAGGAGGCTCATAAATCACCATCTCTAGGGGAGGGAATTGGGCTCAGGAGTCCCAAACAAGGTTGCCCAGAGATCACCATCCTGGGAGCTCCAGTCCTCTGTGCTGTGCTAGTTGCCTTGAGGACTGAGAGGTCCACTTCTACTTGACCCATTGGAGTCCAGTGTCTGCCTCCCACCATGTGTCATTGTACCTACACCTGGTGGGAAGCTCTGGTCTGATGATTGGTTTATTTAGGAAAGAGAAACAAAATTTTAATATATTTTAGGAAGAAGTCAAAATAGGTATAATTTTGGAAATATGGTCTATCCTAGCCCCTGATTGATGATAGGATTCCCAATCTAAAATGTGACAGTTTAGGATTCGCCCTTGGAAATTAGATAAATGGCTTTGGTTTAGCATGAAAGGAAGTTGGAAGCCTGGGTTGTTTTTCTATTTTTGCCATTAGCTAACTGTGACCACCTTTACTTGTTCTGCTTTCATGGGATTTGAAATTATTTAAAATGCACTTCAAGTGCCATTTTTCCCATTTGCTGATTCCTCCTACTAGATAACACTCTTTTCTCTGTTGGGAGAAATGGTTTATAGTGTACTTTTCTTATGGCATTTATTATATTCTTTCTTGGACTATGGTTTTTTGTATGAATTTATTTTATGTCCTCTTTCCTGTTTATACAGTTTTTTTTAATGTATATCTTTTTTTTTTTTACAGTTGTGAAGTGATTGTAGTTTATCTGGTTTGAAGGTGCAGAAAAATAACTTTTTAAGGAAAAAAATTACCTACCATAATTAGCAAACACATATAAGCTATTTTGCTTAACCCTCTTTCAGGAAGAACTTTGAGACTAAAGTTTAGTTTGGACTAAAAACGGAAAAGGCACACCTGTAATACATGAAAAACAGGTTGCATTCAGTTCTCTAAAGTTTAGTTTGGACTAAAAACGGAAAAGGCACACCTGTAATACATGAAAAAAAAACAGGTTGCATTCAATTCCGTGTATTCAATTCTGAAGAAATGTTTCCACCTTCCATTCGATCACTGAGCAGAGAATCTGGGTTGCAAATTTTGCAGTCAGGTTCATGGAATGGCATAATGGAGGAATTGATTGTAACTCAATTTTCTTCCTGATTGTGTCATTAACCATCACCAGTTAGTTATTTGAAACATATTAAACCTGAATATGGAGACTTAGTTCATTTTAATACGACCGTGTGACTGGATTGTGGAAACTTACTGAGAGTAACTGAGCTACTTCTTCAGATCAAGGCATTTAATTTTTTTTTTTAATTAAAGGGTTTGAGAACAAAGGCTTTATCAGATCCTCATTGCTTCACAAGAGTCTTTGTTACTAATGTGACACGATCCCGGGACACACTGAATTAGTAGAACTGCAATGGGAAACTATGCTCATTTGTTTAGCGACGTGCAGGCCTGCCCATCAGAGTGGGACAGGAGGACTGAGCAGATGGCACTGGTAGACTACACTTCCTTCCATTGCACCTGCCCTGACACCAGCAGAAGCACTGATGGTGAATACTCGTGGAAATTTAGATACAATTTCAGAAAAGAAATACAGATTTTGATGTATTTGAATGATACTTTGACATTTCCATGGTTGTGAGTGCAAACCTGAGGATGTGACTGAAGGCCCAGGAAATGCTCCCACAGTGTGGCTTGGTTTCCAGGGAGACCTGTGGGAACTGGAAGTAAACTGCTCCTGGAGGGGTTAGTTAGGGCAGTGCCAAGTAGAATTGCACCTGCCCTGACACCAGCAGAAGCACTGATGGTGAATACTCGTGGAAATTTAGATACAATTTCAGAAAAGAAATACAGATTTTGATGTATTTGAATGATACTTTGACATTTCCATGGTTGTGAGTGCAAACCTAAGGATGTGCCTGAAGGCCCAGGAAATGTTCCCACAGTGTGGCTCGGTTTCCAGGGAGACCTGTGGGAACTGGAAGCAAACTGCTCCCGGAGGGGTTAGTTAGGGCAGTGCCAAGTAGTGCTTGAGGTGCAGACTGGTACCACCGGAGACTTACCAGTTCCTGTCGAGATGAGGTCAGAAATGGAGAGGAAACAGAGATTTTATGGTAATTTGACAGAGTATGTTTGTATCTATTGAATTTAATTTTTAAAAATGGTCTTGTATTATGTATATATTTTATTTCATCTTCTAGTAATTCATTCTTAACTGTATTTTACAAAGTTATCTGAAATAGATTAGCGAAAGAACAAAACAAAACAGGTACTTCATCACAGATAGTTTGCAAAGCGTTGAGCTAGAGTCTCTTAGAAGTGTGAGTCATCTGGAAATGAATATATGAATCTGAGGATTATCTAGAAATTGTTGGCCGTGTGGCTGGCCACATTCTAGGCAATAATAAGGTTTATCTGACTCTATGAAATACACATTCTGTTTTATAGCTAAAAATTAAAAATGTCTATTTTAGAAAAAACTGACAAGGGACTGCACTCCACTACGGTTGCAATGAAAAATACTCTTCCATCTGCAGGTTTGTGGTCATGAGCCTGGAGTGCAAACTTTGGCCGCCCTTATTGTGGCACAGTGCTTTCTACCTGAGAGAGATCAAAACGTTTTTATTGAATTCAATTGATTTCTCCCGAGAGTTAGCAGAAACTACATAGTTCACTAAATAAAGTCCAGAAGATTAAAGTAATTTGGAAAGGCAAAATTTGAAAGGTTATTCATCTTATAGCTGCCACCAAATGTTATCTTCCTTGTTCTGCTTTATTAGATCTTTGCCAAACAGAACCCTGAGAATATGTTACTAAGGTGCCATTATGGCGGTGGTAGACTTATGAGATCCTAAGTTTGTTGTTATTTTCATCAGTTCAGATTTTAATAAGTTCCTTGGTATAAATCCTGTAAGTGATTATAACTCCATCTCAATCCTACAATTACCTAAAGAAATTACCCTGGAAATCTGTTTTTAAAAATATTTTTACTGATTTCAAAGAGGAAGGGAGAGGGAGAGAGAGATAGAAACATCAATGATGAGAGAAAAGATTGATTGGCTGCCTCCTGCACGCCCCCTACTGGGGATAGAGCCTGCAACCCAGGTATGTGCCCTTGACTGGAATCGAACGCAGGACCCTTCAGTCCATAGGCTGATGCTCTATCCACTGACCCAAACCATCTAGGGCTGGAAATGTATTTTTTAAAGTAGGTGTTAATATACTATCATATCTTCCTTATACTTTTACAATGTACTTCAAAACATTTTGAAAAAAATTGGTCAGTATAAAAAGAAAATAATCAGCCATATGGAAATAATAGCATCGTCATATTATTAACTTTCATGTTAGATTTGTAAAATTGAAATATAATTATGAATAACAAAATAAACACATGTACTATACAGCAGAGTATGCCATGTTGTGCTTTTGACACAATGGAAACAATTACTAATAAAATAAGGTGTTTTATTTGGAAGAGAGAATTTGCTCTTGGCAGTGGCTTTCCAATTTTGCCAACTTTAAAAGTGACTACATTGGGGGATGAAATAGTTACAGAAAAATGTATACAATCTTTATTCTTTGAACACATACATTGTCAAAGTTTCTTCATGCAAAAGTTAAGCAGGCCCCAAATCACTGAAGTATCTCTTTCTGAGAGGGAAGCAGTAGAATGTTTTCTTCATTTATCACTTTCATTAGGCAATTTCATGTTAACCCCAAATCACTGGTTCTGTCTTTACTGCTCTGCCCTTATTTTTATTAAATGTAGATTTGAATAAGTCTGTGGGAAATTTACCATGTGTAGTATTTTGTATTTGTCGATGTTTCGTTTAAGTGTGCTATATTTTCACATGTTCTGTTTCCCAGCTAGTACATTGGCTAGTACATTTTAAGGGTCTGCTCCACTTTATTTATTTTCCAGTTTCTCCCTTTAGAGGTTGTAGCACTTTGCTTAGCTTATAGTGAGGATTCAGTGTTGACTGACTGAAAAAGATGTGAAGATCTACATATAATCTATTGATAGCAGAATTAGAGAATAATATTGGCATGTTTTAAAACATCTTGGTGTAAGCTTAACATTGTATTTTTATGTTTTGTTTTGTTTTTCAGGAAGATTCTTTGGCAACAGATAATTTCCTTGTGGACTACTTTAATGAATTCCTAAGCCTTCCAGTGAGTGTATTATTATGTTCTATTGAATATATTATCAAAGCAAAACATTGTAATCACTGGGTTATCTTGTAAGACAGATTTATCAGGGACAATATTTTCAAACAATATAGCCCTGGTTGGTGTGGCTCAGTTGGTTGGAGCTTTGCCCCGTGGTCCTGTGCACAGAAAGGTTGCGGGTTCCATCCCCATCAGGGTGTTGTGGGATTGATCCCTGGTCAGGGCACAGGGGAGGCAGCCGGTTGATGTCCCTTTCTCCCTCTCTCTCTTTTTCTCTCTTTCCTCTCTTTAAAATCAATAAACATATCCTTGGGTAAGGATTTAAAAGTATATATATTAATTAAAGCATTTACATAGGTTTGTATCTTTTTGTGGAGTTAATAATTTGGGTTTGAATCATATTTAGGAATTATTTGTATTGAAGAAAGGTAGAGTTTTTCTAATCATCAAAAAAGTTCCGTACTAAATTTGATACATTTATACTTGGCACCATTTTAAGGTTTTTTTAAAAAAATATATATTTTATTGATTTTTTACAGAGAAGAAGGAGGGATAGAGAGTTTAGAAACATCGATGAGAGAGATACATCAATCAGCTGCCTCCTGCACACCCCCTACTGGGGATGTGCCCGCAACCAAGGTACATGTCCTTGACTAGAATCAAACCTGGGACCCTTCAGTCCACAGGCCAATGCTCTATCCATTGAGCCAAACCGGTCAGGGCCATTTTAGGTTTTGAACAGAGGTGATAAGGATAGAATATCAAAAAATGTAAGAAGCCCAGCCAGTGTGGCTCAGTGGTTGAGCATTGACCCATGAACTGGGAGGTCACAGTTCTATTCCCAGTCAGGGCACATGTTTGGGTTGCAGACTTGATCCCCAGTGTGAGGCATGCAGGAGGCAGCCTATCAATGATGTTTATATATATATATATATATATATATATTTCCCTTCCTCTCTGAAATCAATATGAAATCAAAATATATATTTATATATATATGACTCCTATGAAAAGAGTAGTGGGGAAGGGTAATGGACTCAGCCCGGAGGGGTGAAGGGCTCCACTATTTATCAGGTTTTGTGATCTTACCTCTCAAGAAGGTCACACTTTAAATAATTATTTTCAAGACAACAATTATATCTCAATAAAGCTGTTTAAAACTAAAAAAAAATCTCTGTATTGGGTCTGATTTCAGTTTCTCAAGATTTACATTTCATTGTCTCAAGATTTATGATTATCTTGACTTTCACTTGCTTCAGAAAATAAATTCCCCTGCCTACCTTCCTTTTTAAAAAAGTCTAACTTTAAAAATGTCAGAAGCAATATAACAGTAGTATAGAAAATTTACCTAAAACGTGAGAAAGAAAATCAGCCATCCAGTTAGAATACATGTTACCATTTTTTGTATGTTTTCTTTCAGGCTTTGTGTGAAATCACAGAGTGATTTCTGTTGAACTCTGTCTATGCAATCATGGTTTTCATCCCACTCCAACTGATTCCTTTATCTCTAGCTTTCATATATTTCATGGACTGCTTCTGCTTTTACTTCCTCCCTCCCTCCCTCCCTCCCTCTTTGCAACTACATTTGGTACCACACAGTCTTCCTATTAACTCCCCATGCTTCACAACACAAGATGCGAGAAGGGGAAATGTCACAGGTTTCCAAAAGGAACTGAGGAGGAGAAGGAATGATGGATTCTAAACCAAGTTCCTGGCAAGATTCTAGAACAGATTAGTAATGTTTGGTTTATCAGTGCTTAGCTAAGAATTAGAAGCTAGCATGGGTTTACTGAGAATAAATATGCCAAACTAATTTCTTTTTGGGGGTATAGTTATGGATAGGTATGTTAGGGCACCATAAATGTAATGTATTATGATTTCATTAAATAAGAATAATAATTGAATCATGTTACCTCTGGCTCAAAACTCTGTTTAGTGTCTTCTCATTACACTAAGAATGAAATCCAAAATCCTGTATGATCTGGCTATTGGCATCTCTTGAACTTTATTTCCTACTCGTTTCCCCCTGGATAGTTCTTTTCCAGCCTAACTGGCCTCCTTCACGTTTCTCAAACTGGAATATGCCAGTGTACTTAGGGCTTTTCAGCCTGGAATACTCTTCCCTCAGATGTGTGTATCACTTTCTGCCTGACTTAAATCACTCCTGTTCAGAAAACTTTCCCTCCCAACTCCATCTAAAACTATATACCCAACACACGCTCCAATGTATGCTGCTTTCTAAAGCATCTCTAAAGCCCTGATTATTGTCTCTGAGATTAGTTTTCAAATATTTGGATGGCTCACTAACCATAGCCAGTAGGGGTTGACTCTCAATAGCCTACAGATTGAAGTCCAAATTCCTATGTACGAAATTCAAGACCTTTTCCAATTTGGCCTTGACCTAACTTTTCTAGCTTTATCTCTAGCTTCGTAGACTCGTGCCTAACACAGCCGTCCTGCCTCCCCTGGGTACCCCCACCCCCCTTAACCATGTAATCTTCCCAGTGCAGTGGGTAGTAACTGTGTTTCAGCCCAGCTCCTCCACTCATCACCCTTGTGATCTTAGACACATTTCTTAATTCCTCAATTTCTTGATTTTTTCCCTCCATGAAAGCAATAGAGCTATCTTACCTTTTGTTGTGAAATGAGGTGATATATATAAAGTGCCTGGGCCAGAACTGGTACTTCTCTTTCCGTTTCCTTCATAGCGAGGCCATCTCATCCTCTATTCCTGGAACATGAGGGTCAGTCACTCTTTAATTAGATGGGCGGATCTTTATTAGTCTAGAGGATAATCTGTGCCACGCCAATCTGTCATTGGCTTTGACTTTGAAAAATCAGAGACTTGAGACTTGAATGAAACATTGCAGTGAACCAGTGTTTTTTTTTCCAATTTTAGGTCATTGAGCTAGTAAATGGCTATCCACCCAGGTCCACGTAGCTCAGAAGCTTGCCCTACTGCCCTTTAATGACTCTAGAACTGGCAACAGAGGGATTAACAGATAGTGTGGGTCACTATCTGTTACAGAATCTGGCCTCATTTTTATCATGGTCATCTGAAATGGGCTAAAACAAACAAAGCTAATGGGTTTGTAGGGTGCGTTAATAAAAGTATAGTTAAGATCAAGAAAAATATTAGTCTGGAGCATGGAGTGAATGTTGTTTTTTTAAAAATTGGATATAACTGTCAGCCCACGTTTGGAATATCGTGTTCCGTTTGTGGTGCCATATACTGAGTTGTCCTGCCAAACTGGCCTCGGGTAGACTCAGCTAATGAATGCCCTGGAGACCACGGTAGGTGAGGCCGGGTTGAGAGAAGTGTGGGTATTGAACCTGGCTGGGGAATGCACAGGGGCTTGGAATGGAGCAGCTCTTTCCACATATTTGAGGATCTGCTTGAGGAAGAGGAGCTGACATAATCTATGAAGCTAGAGGGCAGAACCAGGGCCTCCAGCATTTCTGAGGAAATTGATTTGTACTCACTAGAAGAAAGACGTCTAAAGTTGGTTTTCTAACACGAGAATGGGTTGGCTTGTGAAGGAGTGAACGCCCCACGACTGGAGGTGGTCAGGTGTAGGTGAGGAAACCATCTGGGGAGATATCTTACAGGGCGCTCAGGAATCGGGTGGCAGATTAGACTCCTCTAATGAAAGAGCGTGTGATTAATTCCTTCTCTCTACTTTATCTCAGGGACTACACTAAATTTCCTGAGACCAAGGATGGGTCCCTTGCTTCTGTATCTCCCAAAGCTGCTTCAGGATGATTATGTTTTTATTTCTACATCTCCCATGTAAGATACTTGGAATAAATAAGTCTTCTTTAAAAACATGTTTTATGTTAGAGGGGAGAAATAAATAAGCCTTCTAATGTTCTGTTCTTCTGCCTCCCCTCCTCTACCACACCTCCCAATACTCCCCTACAATCGAAGTCTTTAGATTCTCAATCTAAAATCTTAGGTCATCTAGATTTCTGATACTTCTGTATCAGAAGATGACATGCCCAAGGTCCCATTGAGACAGGCAGTGAGCCAGGACGAGCCGACTAGGGAAACTGAGACAGATAGTTGAACAGCAGTTCAGCCGTCTAGTAAATCCTACCTTCTCTAAGCCAGGGACACTCAAGAGTAAATGGTTTGCACTTCTCCTCCCCAGCCACCCTACGCAGGGAGACAGATACAGAAATCCAATTAATGCCATTTGCCAACCACACTGAAGTACAGTGAAGTTAGAGAATAAACCTCATTTTTGTCCATCAGCATAAAGCTGATGAATATTCTGTTGAGATCCTCTCCTAAGACCTTCCTTAACCGTTCATCCTTTAAAATCCCTCAAAACGAAGGTCCCAGCGCCTGCTCTCCCTCCCAGGAGCATGCCTGCTTCTCCCGCCCCTTCTTCCCCCACAGGCAAGCACCTCCTAAACTCTAAGGGACCCCAGGAGGCCTGCCATGGGCAGTGACAGCTCATCCCTGGCAACCCCCTGAGCCTGAACCCAAGGCCCCCTTTTTTCTGACTTCTTGGCCAAAGCAGCCTGGCCTGGGCTCATTTCCCAGCCCTTTCTTATTTTCTGTCCCCAGCTTTAACAAACGTCCTCTAAACTTCACCTGGCCCCGTATTGTGAAATCTTTTCTGCACGAAGTCAAGCACCCACACCCTACTGGCCAGCCCTAGGCAGACCCGCTCAGGGCCGGGTCCCGTCTCTGGTACCACCATAACTGGATGGTGGCAGACATGGGCCTGGGAATCGGGCTCGCCACCTCCTACGCTATTTCTTTCCATTACGCCATGGCACCCTTGGGACGCACTGTGAGATCCAGAATTGATGGCTGGTAGCCTGCCTCCACGTTATTTTCTTGATGAGGGGAATCCAGGACAGTTGCTGCTATTATAAATAATTATGGCACTTTCCAAATCCCAGCTTTCATAACTCCGTTCCGTTTGTTCTGGCGCCAGGTTCACATTCAGATATTGTTTTCATGTGGTGTCTGGGAGGTTTCTTGCTGTCAA